TTATCCAGAATCATGCAGTTCTATTTTGCACACAAACAGCTCTTAAAGAGTCCAGTTTTTATATGTAGCCTGTTGATTTTTGTTCATGGTATTCAGCTCCAATAAATGTAATATTTATATGAATTTAGTGTAATCAACTATATAAAAAATAATCAGATTATGTTCCCTGACATGTATGTATATTCTGCATTTTTTTTTCTATCTTAGCAATTCAAGGTGGAAGTACCACCTTTCTGTTTTTATGGGTCTGCAAGCTGTTCCTTGCTGTAGGGTAGCACATGCGGCCTTGCATAACATTAGAAACGTGTAGGTGAGGTTTATTTTGAAAGGAATGATCCGGGTTTAACAAGTTCAGTTTTATCAACAGCATTTGTGGCATAGTGTCGATTACCACAGACAATTTTTACTCGTTCTTCAACTTGTAAAATGGATCTAAATTATTTTCAGTGATAATTGACAGTATGTCACCGATGTTTCCGTTAGAGCTTAACTTGCACTAAACCAGAAACCTTCATTTAACAAGGTGATCGAATCAATCTGACCTTTACAGTTTGTGCGACACATTTCAGTGAGATTTGTTTTGTGAACCCATCGGAATGTAATGCAAGCTATGCAAAGAGGCTGTTATTGACTAAACAACTATATTAGACCTGACAGCAAACCCACAACCCGTAAGTAAGCATTGTTACTCATGTCACATTTGAAATGGGCATTTATATAGATGCAAAATATGGCCCATTAAAATTTTATATTTTGGGGAAAAACAGTTTAAGCACTGTCAACAGCATTTAGTTTATTTTCAGTTTTTTTCAAGTTTGTTAACTGCAGTTAGAAATGGTGTTATAGTAATGTGTTGAATTTTTCAAGTTTTAGTAATTTTGTTTTTCAGTCATTTTCAATTTTTTCTAAATATTTCTATATACTTTTAATTTATCTTTATTTCAGTTTAAGTTTTTTATATAATTTTAGTACTACTAGTTACTTTTTATGTAACATTTTATTATTTAACATAACATTTTATTTAATTTAGCTGCTAAAGCCACATTTGGAATTATTTAGTTTAAATTTAAGTTTAGGTTTTTTTATCTAATATCTAGATTCTGTTATTTAAATTACAGAAAAAAAATAATGTTTAATACTTTAAGTTTGCACAATTAATTGAACCATTCCCATATTGACGATTACTTACAAAAATCAGTCTATATATCGCCTTACCATAGTGAAAAATTAATACACTAAAATGTATTTGAAATACTTTATTTCATGCTAAGTGTACTACAAATACATTTACATACTGCAGTGCTCTCGGTTACTGAAGCCCTGAGACTGGCAAGAGCAGCTTCCAAATCCTCAGTACTCATCTTGCTGGATCTGTCTGATGCTTTTGACGCAGTTAACCACCAGATCCTCCTGTCCACCCTTATGAAGATGGGCATCTCAGGAACCAGACTCCAGTGGTTCAAGTCTTACCTCTCTGGTAGGTCCTTCAGGGTGTCTTGGAGGGGTGAGGTTTCTAAGTCACAACTTCTTGCTAATGGGGTTCCTCAAGGCTCAGTGCTTGGACCACTTCTCTTCTCCATCTACATGTCATCTTTAGGATCTGTCATTCAGAAGCATGGCTTTTCCTATCATTGCTATGCTGATGACACTCAACTCTACTTCTCATTCCAACTAGATGATCCGACAGTAGCTGTTCGCATTGCAGCCTGTCTGACAGACATTTCTGGCAGGATGAAGGATCATCAACTTCAACTTAACCTTGCTAAGACAGAACTGCTCGTGGTCTCAGCCAACCCAGCACTTCATCTCAACCTCTCTATACAGCTAGGTTCGTCAACCATAACTCTTTCCAGGACAGCCAGGAACCTTGGAGTTGTGATGGATGATCAGTTAAGCTTCACAGACCATATTGCTACAACGGCCCGGTCCTGCAGGTTTGCCTTATACATTAGGAAGATTAGACCCTTCCTAACATAGCAGACCGCACAACTCCTTGTCCAAGCTCTTGTTCTCTCCAGACTGGACTATTGTAATGTTTTAAGTATTAAGTAGACCTTTGAGTTGTATAAGTACAACTCAAAGGTCTGTGCATAATGCTGAATTAAAGTCACAGTTAGTTGGTAAGCAAGTGTATCTTTTTCTCATTACTGCATTTGAGCGTGAGTTACCGCGCTGCCTTTCAGCGGTAATCCACTCAATGCTAATGCATAATTCATAAACAATAGCAAGCGAATGCACATTTACCCTCCCAACTCTCTATCACATCCTGTTTTGTTAGTTTTTCTCGGTCCATCAAACGGAAATCTGCCAATCCATCATCAAACAAGAATGAGGCATAATGTTTTATTCGTCTGCTATCCTTCCTGTGTTTGTATCTCAGTTTTGGACTGTAGCTGTTTGTCACTCATCAAATTGATTTTTGCTTCAGTCAATCGCCGCTTTTATCCGCAGGTGTCTATTGACCAAAGGTTACACACACACCATCTCCTGTTTTAGCTCCACTGTCTCCCCACTGGGAGATATAAAGTATCTATAGCTGAAGAACAGCCTGTAGGGAGACAGAGAAAGGTAATGATGCGGATGTCTTGTATGTGGCCCCGGCTGTGCGAGACCCCAGGGACCTCATTTAGATTCTGCTAGGACACAGGCATCCGTGTTAAAAAAGCAGCAGAATTGCTAAAAGAAGGGTCTCATGAAGGGCCCTTTTACCGCTGCTGCCAGCATGCTTTAAAAACTCGTTATATAGCAAACCGGAGCAATAGTCGCATCTCCTGCTGTACCGGATCGGCAAGAAGCCCGTCTTCTTGCTTTAAATGTCTTCGGTTATATTTGATTTTCGCTAATGGGTTTAATGTAACTTAAAAAATGTTTTTCGTCGCAAAGAAGCAGGACCCGTTTGCAGCTCTGGGTTTCTGCGTGGTATGTGCATCATTTCATAGAAATCCATTTACAAGGCTTCATTTGCATTTGTTTTGGAGCTTGGTTTTATAATATGTCCATAATTCTGACAAAAAATAAATAAATACACCCGGCGTACCTCCTGCAGACTGAGGTTGTAAATTTACATTGGCGCACTGAGCTAAGTTTGCTTATTAAAAAGGTGGGTATAAATTATTTTCTGCTCTGTTGTTGCTTGCAGACAGTTCAGTGATGAGGGAACTATGAACTATGTGGAGATCGCTGATTATAATTGGGCAAAGGGTTCGCTCATGCAGCGAGCAGGCAAACGGCTTAAAAAAGGAAATGCAACATTTGCATTAGCTTCTCAGAGGCATAAGAGACTACAGCGAGCAGCAGGAGTCCCTCATTATATTGTGGCAAAACCACAATGAAATCAATTTGTGTCATCACAGGTAACGATTCCACTTAATATTAAAGACAATAGGAGCTGAGTGAAGACTCAGACAGGAAGACGAATGAAAGCTTTGATGGTTTCTGTCTTTCTAATGAATAAAATCTGTCCTCCCACAGTTATGTTGTACCTACAGTCTTTTAACACAATATGTTCCTCTCCTCTACCTACACGAGTCTCAAAATACCATTATGGATACTTTAACATTTCTCATGAATCACTGAACCGATTTTTACAGTACATTTGGAGTTTTCGTTTTAGATTTCTTTCCCTTCCCACTTGAGTATGACAAACTGAAAAAATGTCAGTGGCATGTGGTAGAGTTTTTTTTTTCCCTAGCTTCATGATGCAGTTTTTCACTTAAAAGACATAAGGAGCAGCTTTTTTTTGTAGGACAACATTTTTATATATTTATATTAATTATTAAAATAAAAATGTATTTAAATAGTGTGTTCACTATTACTTGAATAGTCAAACATGGTTATAAAAATTCCAAGGTTATGGATTTGATTCCCGGGAATGCATTGAATAGTAAAATTGATATCTTGAATACAAGTCCATATGCATGCCAAATTCATTATAAAAAAAATAAAAGTATCAAAACCAAATTAAAAATGTAAATTATGTCCCCATGTCATTGTAAATCTGTATGACTGTTCTGCTGTGGAACACACTGTGGAAAAATATCTTTTTGATATATTCAATGAAATTTAGTGCAAACCAGTGTTTTTTTTTTACCCCATTGTCTTTCATTTTATGGACAGTTGAACCATTTCTCAAAATATCTTCTTTTTTCCCTACAGACGTCAGGTTTGGAAGAAAATGAGAGTGAGTAAATATGACAAAATTTCCATTTTGGGGTGAAATATCCCTGTTTTTGACCATTTAATCAGCCAGTCACAATGACGTGACCATGCTTTTAACCTTCAGTCCTCACATCTATTGTGCTGTTGATTATTTTCTCATTCAGATCTCCTCCCTCCCTGCTAAGCATTCTCCCAGTTCTTTTCAATATATTCTCCTTCCTGTTCGTGTTGCCTGTGTCTTCACCTATGTGCACTTAAACACAGGGATAAGGCACTCATTCTAGTCACGTACATAATGTACAACCTACAGAAACTGGCAAAACATGTCTTCGGCATCAGTCCTGGTCAATTCATAGCATTCCACCTGAAGGGTAACAGATTGATTTAATCCAGGCCTATGCTGCCTTTCCTGTATGGAAGCTGTCCTTTTGCATCAGCTCCAGATTTCTGAGCCTCCCTGCTGAGGAGCAGACAGTTTGGATGAGCATCTTGTGTGTGAATGAGAACCCTTCCCTCCTCCCTATACTGATTTGTGGCGCATCCAGCTGCTCCAAGCAGCAGCCCAGCTGGACTCACTCTGCCTGGGTGGGGTTAACACTGCCCCATTTACATTCATGCCAAAGTCCATTCCAAGAATCCACTAGTAAAGTTGGACATGTTATTGATTTAGGAATCGGACCAAGTCATGGGTGGGTAACTTAAAAATGAATACAAGGCTGTGTTTACACTTGTATTAACATCTGTCTCAGGTGATCTGTTCACAAGTGATCAGACCAAAAGAGGTCAGCGCGTTTCTGCATCTTGATAAAGCAGAAAAAATTCTAAAAAGTAAAACTTACGACATGATCTGTATCATTTTGACGTCAGGCAAACCAGAGAAGTATTTTGTATGTTATAGCAGTAGAAGAATAACATTTTGAAGAATGTTCTAGTGACTCACTCTTTTTCAGGAAATTAAAATGAAAACTGGAGTTTCAAGCTTTAAAAGGACAAAAAAGCCCATAAAGGTATCATAAAAGTCATCTGTACGACTCATGAACTATATTCCAAGTCTTCTGAAGTCATGTGATGATTTTGTGTGAGGAACAGACTGAAATTTAAGTCTTCACCAACAAATATCCACCCTAGTTCTTTAAGGCATGCTCATGAGAGAAATTGCAATGTCCGATTCGTGAACTAATCATTCGAGTCAGATATTTTGAGGGAATCATTTGATTCAGTTCACAAAACGATTCGGAGTGAATTTTGATTTTTATCGTGAATGATTCAACCATTGTGAACAATTTGTCAATTTTCATTGTTTTTTATCCCGAAATACTTTGACCTTGTAATTTTTAATTGAAATTCTATATCTTCTGGTGAAATGTCAGACTTCGTGACATATGTCTGGACTTTTCCAGTCATTTCGTCCGTATAAACCCTGCCCCTTTCTAAAAGTCGACTGTAAGCTTGCATTCAGATCTGCCTCTATCCAATCAACAACCAAATTAAGTTGAACTGAGTCCCTAAGTTGTTTTCTTTTCAATAATCCTTTTCACTTGGATGTATGTCACAGTACGGAAGAAAGATCGCTACTTCCAATCTGTCGCAAGTGTAAATGGTGTTCTGTTTACATTTCCCATACAATGCTCTGTGATACAGTACTCCAACATGACATGTAATTGTAACAAATAAGCTGAACCGAAGGCAGAATATTTGCTTTACTAATTCGAATGAGTCTTTTCTCAATATTTTCACTATATCTGAGGCTTGAGCCGAGGCTCTGGCAAATATTGCGCCTAGCGGTGCCAAAATTCTGTTTCAGCACACCAAATGCATAATAAACCCAGCAGGATGATAATGATTATGGTGTTTGTCTGTGAGAGGTGGACATGAACGCGAGACTGCACGCTATAATTTAGCACCAGATTAAGCAAGGGGAAGAAGGGAGGACATCAAACTTCTACACTCCATGCTGTGACTTTTGAACTTGTTGCTGTGCTGGATTGTGAGGCGGTGTGTGTGCTTGCTTGCGTGTGTTTGTGTGGGTTTGGGTTCAGATGTGTTTGGAGAACAGCACAGCTCCTCTCATCCATCCTGTGGGATTGGATCTGGTGTTTAATGTGTGTGTCTCTAGAGATGAAGATTCATTGCTTTAATAAGAGCAGTACAGACAGGAGAGAGAAGAGCACAGCTTTACAGAGAAGTGTCTTGGGAAAGGCTGATGGTTGAGGGTCTCATGGCCTTTAATGATGGAGGGAGGCATCTGTTGCAACGCTAGTCTTTGTAGAAGGCACCCCATCAAGCCCTTTGTTGCTGCCTCGTCTTTGTCTTCGTATCTTTCTTGAACTCTGTCTCCGGCGGACGCGTTGCCTTCTGCGAGCTGCGAGAATGTTCGAATGCTAATTTTGGACCCAAAGATGGGTGTGTGTATGTAAGGCGTGGGCGTGTGCAAAAATAGCCATTATGAATATGCATGGACCCCAATTAAAACGACATACATTTTTGCCAGAACCGACCTGAGAAATCACATGCTCTCAGACAATAATCCTTCAACGTGTCCCATAATGAAACATTAACAAAGTCTTCTCAACAAGATTGACTTTTTCTGCACCGCAGAGAGAAGGATGTGCGGTTTAGTACGTGTTTACGATGCACCTGAGTCCTGTAACGCAGTGCACACGCTCGTATTGAGTGCAACTAATGAGCGAGAGCTGTCAGATGTGATCCGTCACTCCAGTGCAAGGTTCCAATCAAAACGTGCGCATCACTACCCTAATGTAAGCATGTCACCTTCTGTATTTGCATCCATCTCCGGAGGGAATCCACGCTCGTTGTGAATATATCTTGTCAGTCAGTATGTTCATGCCATACGGAAAGAGTGTTAAAAAGTGCCCGTAGGAGAGAAGTAGCAGCTCTGGCTCAAAACGTATAACTTCCTCTGCGTTACAGATGGGCCACAGTCATCAGCTAGTCATCCTCCAATGACTAGTCTTATTTATATTTTTTTCTTTTAAAAAAAGCTACACTGTGTGACTTTTGGCCCTCTAGTGGTTGAGGCATAAGACTACAAAACACTTGCTGAGGAACATTGTTTTGGGCATTACATGAACTTCGGCTTTGCTATTCTGCGTGGATGAATTTGATGGTTTGAGCCACACCGCTGTGTAGATAGTTACAGATGATCAGTCACTAACAACATCGAAACTCTCCCATTTAGTAAAAAAACGGATGAGGTCTTATTAAGGTAAGTTGCTGCCAATAGTTTGCTGCCAAAAGTTTGGCAATGCTAATGTTAGACTTGATGACTGCTATTTATATCAGATAATGGTGGAAACTATTTGTAAACAAATAGACCAAACTAGTAACTGGTTTAGAGATTCAGTTGTTGTGGCTTTAAGCTATTTCCACTTAATAGAGTAGTAGCCTTCTTTTCTTTATTTACAGATAGGGATGTAGCGATGCACCCTGAACCGGTTGAAAATGTATAAAAATGTATGACGATTCCGGTCGGTTGAAATGTTAAACTAGTCGTAATACAGTTTGGGGTGGGGGTTTATATGAATGTATCTCTGAGGGGAACTGTCTTCAGAAAAGCTTTGATGGCATTTTCCTTCCATCTTGTCTCTGTATAATGCATACTGAAGTAGTGTTTATAAGCGCAGCGCTAGTTTGTTTACAGCAGCAAGCAAGGAAACACTATATTGCCGCTGTTCCATAAGCACCACTTGCTGGAAGAGAGTGAATTTGCGTCTCATGCAGCCCGTCTGCTGTTTTTGTTGTTCACGTATGTTTTATGTAGCCTAATTTCACAAATTAGAAGTCAGACTATTCTATCTTTGCTTTAAATTTTGAAATTATACAATCTAATTTAAAGAATAATTTGTATTCTTTATTTGTTTGATTTGGGATTTGTTTTAAACAATTTTGTCTGAGAAATAATAAAAGGGCATCTTTACATTAAAAAAAACGTGGAAAGAAGAGTGAGAAATTCGTATCGTGAAATCAGTATTGTGGAATTGTGTCACATCGTGAGTTGTCTGAATCATTACATCTCTATTTACGGATATGACATAAACTTGTAAAAACAGTAAACTTGTGAAAGTATGCAGTTTCTTGGGAAATTTGTCCTGATAACTCTAAAATATGAATAACTATTATAAGCTTGCTGTTGTGATTTAGGGTAAGGCATAAACACGGTTCACAGGATGGTTTTATGATGTATTCACTCATTATTTACATTTTGTTAATTTCAAACAAAAAAGTTACATAGTGCATCTTTAATTAAAAATTATATTTAATACTTTAATATCTATCTGTATATAGTTTATTTAAAGTTATTTATTATTATAGAAGTATTTATTATAAATAAAGTATTTGAAAGTTTTAAAGTATTTAAGCATGCTTCTAATTTATTTATTTGTTTAAAATTGTAAAAAAAATTTGTAAATAAATATTCATTTGTTATTATAAAATTGTATTTTGCTGCTGTACGCAACAAAACCCTCTTTTAAAAGTGGCCACTGCTTTTGAATATTGTGCCATGTACAGAGAGAGAAGGGTTTGGTCTGAGCCAAACTCGAACCCCACAAGCTCTTCAGCCCTTTTATATTTCAGAAGCAATGCACTACCCTCTGTGCCACAGCTCTGACATGAGTGTTGCATTTTTAAGATAGCATGTCAAGTTAAAAATAGTTTCACTTTTTGAAACACGTCTGGAGAGCCATGTGTTCTGTTTCATTCTGTTGTGCCCCATCTAGTTAAATTTGAACACAAGAAGACATCTTATGTAAAGGACCCTTAAGAAATGTGACTGGCTGGGGTCAAGTTAACCCAAAACCATCCGATTCAGGAAATTAGTCGATTTTAAAAATAGCCCTACTTTTCATTTGCTTTCAAAAAAAAATCTGACCATTGCAGTTTCTTATATTCTATTCATGGGTGAGCATGTTTTGGTTATTGTTGCGACCTGCACATGAAATATTATCCAGTCAAAATTTACAACACCACAGCATTGTTCTCATCTTGACTACATCTTAAATTAGACACAAGCCCATGACTAACAGGGTGCTCTTTTAACATGTTTTTTGGGTGTCATATTTTATTTATTTAAATGCGGAAATGTTCTAAAAGGCCTGTCACATACAAATCATTGTCACAATTTCATTTTAATTGACTGTTATGGGGTTGTTCGTGTGGTACCAGAAGGCAGGTAACAGAAATAGCTATGGAAATATAACAAACGTGATATCGCAGAAGTACGCGTAAGAATGCCATGTTGACTTTGCTGTAGGATGAACAGCTGTCAAGCACAAGCCTGGAAGTGCCTTGATGGTTTTAATTTCTTCACTTCCTTTTCTAAGCAGACAAAACAGATATTGCAATATTCCAGTTCATCGCTTCACATCAGATATTCAGCGTGAAATCAGCATAGTCCTACACAATGTTCCGGTTATGTAATCTTTCTCTTGTTCCCGACCTCTCCTACTGTATCCCGACCCCTCCCTTGCATGGATCCATGTGAGGGATTAGGGATTAGGGGCAGGAGCCGGAGCTGGATTACACAGCTAACAGACCAGCGCTCTCTCTTCTGATAAAGATGCTGTCACTCTCAACACGTTCTTCCTCACTGATACCATCAGTCTTAAAGATCTTTTTCTCCTCACAGACAAACATGTCCTCTCAACCATCTGTTGAATTATTTTCACTTGAGCATTATATTTCTGATCTTGTCATTGTGTAATACATCAGATAATTCTTCAGAATCTAACACAAAACGTGGTTTCTGTTTCCTCAAGCAGCATTTGGACCTTTTTCTATATGACACCTTTTCACAAATGGGATACAATTTTATAATGCAAATTGTGTTCTTTGGAGGGATAACTGTTATCTGTTACTATAAACTATTATCTGTGCATGTATATATATGTATATATATATATATATATATATATATATATATGTGTGTGTATACACACACATATATATGATATGTATGCATGTGTGTGTATTTGACAATTTTATGTGAAGTTGCTTTTTAATAGGGAGAAAAGCATGGTGATTATTATTATTATTATGCAAATATGGAAAATATATGTTTATTGTTAACTATAACATTTGGTCCCATACTAGCTAGCCACTAGTGACAGCTTAATCTTGGCAAAATCTGCAAACCTGTTACTTACAACCCTGATACATTATCAATGTTATTTATTTGTTAATTTACTCACTTGTTTATTTAAAGGGGTCCTATTATGCTCTTTTACAATGTCTTGAATTTGTTTTGGGGGTGTACTTGAACATGCTCTCATGCTTGGTGGTTCGAGAAATGCATTATTTTTTACATAATTTACGTTATTGCAATACCTTTCTCTCCATCCTGGCACAAACGGCTCGATTAGTTCCGACTTTGATGAAGGTCCGCCTTCTGAAAAACAAAATGTGTTGTGATTGGTTAGCTGTCCCAGTGCGTTGTGATTGGCGAACAGCTTAGACGGTGTTTCAGTACTGCCCCGCCCCTTGCCAAAGCAGCAAGTTCCGTCTGCTCCGGTTTAGTTAAAGTCACCATGAAATCAAAATTGAAAATTCTTATTTTTTAATGGAATACTGTAGTGTTTATGCATAAACACATTTCATTACACCAAATACACAAAATAATGTTCTTTTTAGCAGCATCATATGACCCCTTTAAGGATGGCGTCAATATTGCCATATCAATTTGAACCGGATTCAGACCCAGAGAATATTGAACAAGAGGATCGCGCAGAACCTTTGCATGCACAGATATTGCAAGACATATTAGAGTGGTAATGTTATTGTTGTTTTTTATTGGCTAAATCATGTTTTAGATAGGATGTCAACAACCACTTAAAAATAACTGCATTTACTATGTACAGATAAGTGCATATGTATTATTTTTATTGTTATTTAATTCTAACATTATAACATGAATTGCAGTGAAACTGTTATACAGTTGAATTTATTTATACCATAGTCCAGTGTTTCCCAGGCGGCATATATATGCAAACTCATTCTCTGCCAGCAGGAGGCGCTGTGGGGGGGGTAGAGATCAAGATTTCCCCGGTAACGGCTGTACACAAAGCAGCGCTCCTTCTTCTTCATCATCTTGTCTGATGCACTCAACTCAACCAAGCGTTCTAACCACGACCTTGACCCTCCCCACCCCCCAACCATTAGAATTTACATAGGCGGGAATTATTTTAATGATATTCTAATAGGCCAAGATATGTAAGTTTGAAGATCTTTTTTATGCCCAAACATACACACTACACACTGACTAAAATTAAAAAAGTGAAAAAGCATAATAGGACCATTTTTTTATTGCTAGAAGCATTTACAGCATTTTATACTATATTCAGACGTGTCCTACATTTTAAAAGAGCTGGGTGGGGGAAAAAAAACTGTTAACCCAAAATGAACAGAAAATAAAAATCTCATATAATATTTAGTCAGACCTCCTTAAAACCATTTTCTGAGTGTTAAACATATCTCCTTTTACTGAGTCTTGGTTAAAAAAAAAAAAAAAAACTAAGGCTAAAAACTAAGTTTCTAAGGCTTTCCAAATCTATTTTGCACCCTTGTTCCAGTAAGTGTCTTATAATCAGTGGGCCTTATTCATGAAACACAAGCAGAATTAATTTCTGTGTAGCAAATTGTCACATTCCGTCCAATGGGTCGATTTATGAAGGAATGGATTGTTTCACAAGAATGTTTTACACAGAAATTGTTCTGCACATGTTGGATGAATAATGTCCAATATTTCCAGTTAATGTTCCAAAAAATTTGAAGTTGTTTAAAAAAAAAATATATCTTTTCAGTTGTGTTGAAACAGCATTCAATAGCATTTCGCAATTTCTATGTGGGACCTGTCATGGTGAGGCTAGTTTGTGAAGACACATGCTCCTCTAGAGTGAATGACATTAGTTTTATTGAGATTGATGGCTGTATGTGTATGTGTATGCTTGTTCTCCTCTGGACAGGTGGATGCTGTCATGCCATTTGGGTGCCTTGCTCTGCGAGATGGGCGGACATACAATAGCCTGTCAGACATTACTGACAAATACGAGATTGGACAGGTCCTCAAGGCGTGAGTGTGCATAGATCTGCCATTATAGCCTTAAGAAAGCCAATCCATCAATTACATATGCATGATCTCATTAAACATTAATTTAAGATACATTTCTCCCAATAGATAGGTGCTTGTCACAGTAATGTGCTTATTAAAACAACCATAAGGGGTATTTATTACAGCATAAAATGCAGCATTCAGTATAATTTCTCTTTGCAGCAAAGAATTTTGCGAGCTGTGCCTGGTAAAGGAACGACAGACGGACAAGGTCTATGTGTGCAAGAAATTCCTCAAGAAGGATGGCAGGAAAGTGCGGAAGGCAGCCAAGAACGAGATCATGATCTTGAAAATGTACGTGGTGACTCAAAACATCAACAGATGATGTAGGGTTTTGTGAGAGTGCTGATCTGAGAGGACAAAGAACAAATTTAAAGGGATAGTTCACCCAGAAATAAAATTCTGCCCTCGTGTCATTTCAAACCTCAAATTTTCTTTAAACTCTGGAGCACAAAATTGTAAATGTAGCAGGGTGAGCTACTCCTTTAAGGTTGGAGAGGGTAAGAGATGCTGTATGCATCGCCCTTGGTGTGATTATTTCTGTCTTTTCTAACTATCTTTGAAGCACTTTTCTCTATTTAATGTGAGATACAGAAACTATTCAGCTTTTTGCCATGATGTATTTATTCCAGGGTCAAACACTCAAACATCCTGCAGCTGATTGATGCATTCGAGACCAGGAAAGAGTTCTTCATCATACAAGAGCTGTGAGTCTGACCTCCGTTTGCCGGGATCAGTCATGTTCCCTTCCCAGTGTCATTCAGTAGGCCAAGGACACATCTCTCTACATCAGAACATCACTCCGGAAAATGCACTTCTTCTGTCTCCGCTCCTCATGCAAATATCCACATCTAGCCAGAGCTAAAATCTATTAAGACCCTGTCATCTGCTTTTGCATGAATGACATTGACATGCTATTAGAGCTGTTAAGATTACAGTAATGAGTGACTATAATAGAAAATATAGTTTCTGGACAGTTAGTCATTTACTATTTCCATTGAGATTTTAAAGGTTCTCTTATATTTAGCTTGCAGGATGCTGGTTGCAAATCTATCCTTCTGCAAAAAAAATATTTGAAATGTCTGAAGAAGTTCAAATGTCATTTTGGTGGCAATGGTGTGTCAGTGTTACACTGAATTAGATGTACATGAAGTTGTCGAATTACTTATACAGTATATTATGATATAACATTTTGACAAGATATTCTAAGATTTTGGAGCTTCACTTCTGTGCATCACTTTAGGTATGATTAAAATGTTTTGACCCAGATTTAAATTTAGTTTTAAATTTGATTTAAAATGTAGATTTTTTTAATTTATGTTTAATATATTTTTATTATAATATATTCATAAACAATATGACATTTGAAAACTGCGCACTTTCTTTATGATTGCAGCTAATTGGCAAATTTGGTCAGGTTTTTTTATGTAATGGTTAACCAAAATCCTTCTAATATAGCACTGTGATATTAATGTACTAATTGTTTTATGTTTGGTGACTAGCCAAAGAGCAAGAACCGATTTTGATTTAAATGGAACATGTATAATATTTATATAATTTTATAAGATTTGTATTATTTGTATTATTACAAACACACAAACACATATTGGCCCATTGGTCCTTGGTATAACTTAAGTATGAATAAGCAACCTTACTGCTGATTAAATAAAGATTAAATAGAAATTAACTCTACAAACATATTCAGATCTCCCTTCTTTTTCTCATTTATTTTTGTGACTTTGTTTGTCACAGGGCCACAGGTGGAGATGTGTTTGACTGGATCTTAGACCAGGGGAACTACACAGAGAGAGATGCCGCCAATGTGATCCGTCAGGTCTTAGAAGCAGTGGCGTACATTCACTCCCTCAACATAGTACACAGGAACTTAAAGGTGGGTTTGCAATCATAATATATTATTTATCAATTAAAAGTACATATGTGCAGTCCATATGCACTGTGTATAATACAATAATGGAGTGCAACATGCGCATTAATTGTAATGCAACTGGGCTGATATATGAAATTAAAAAGACAGGCCATTTGTAACGATACCTTGTGCTTTTGCTTAATTTTGTAACTTTATATACAAAGAAACAGTCTGAATATGTGATAATAAGGCTGTAACTCGGTGTTAACGTGTTAAAATTGCTACCACAGCATATATGTGTGTGCTGGGGATGTTTTTGTCTGCGGAGTATTAAATGATAATCAGCTATATTAATCAAACGCCTAGTCCTCTTTGAATCATAACACTGTGCATCTGTAATATTGCAGGAGCTCCCTGTGGGTGTCATTAATGTTCAAAACAAATATGAAAGTAATAAACAGTATTGCCACCTCCTGTGGTTCTAATGCTTCACACTAAAGCCATCAAGGTTATGATGCTGTTTGTCATGAGACAACATGTGTTTGTAGTGCCCTCTAGTGCACGGCAGCAAAATGCTGTGCACACTATTAGCATCAGACATTCTCTGTTACATGTATATGTGCATCTCATTTGTTCACAGCTCATTCTTGTCAGTAATGCATAATTCTGAATTGCCTCCTGGATGTTTTTAGATATAGCTTTGATGCATTTCTTATTAAGGCTTGTGCTTGAAGTATCACAGAACTGAGATACATGTATTATACATAGTAGGTCAGCTGTGTGTTTTCAGATTTATCTTAAAGACAAAACTCATTCTTCACATTGAGACGGGTGAAGGGTGTGTCCTGTCTGGTCGCTACTGGCCAGCTGAAAGACGAATATCAACATTATTTGGGACACAGCAGCCTCTTATTCAATCATACTTTGGCCTAATGCATGTCTTTCCTTGTGTCATTACTTATATATAAAAGTATTGATTTTTTGTTTCGTTTTTTACCCTGTGCCTTTTTCTGTCATTTCAGCTGGAGAACTTGATGTACTATAGAGAGAATAACCACAACAAGGTCGTTTTGCGGGATTTCTACCTGTCCAGGTTTGAGAATGGCTCAATCACCGAGCCCTGCGGGACACCCGAGTATCTGGGTAATGATTTATCACATGATCTCTTTATTTATTTGTACTTGTATGTGAAGTACTAACCTTCCCATCTTTTTTTTTTGTTGTCATATTTCCTGTCAGCCCCTGAAGTGGTGGCTCGTCATCGCTATGGAAGACCAGTCGATTGTTGGGCAGTGGGGGTCATTATGTACATCTTGTAAGTTGGTGTTGGATACATTGTGTTGACATTCAATTGATTTGTCAGCGATTCTTTATTATCTTTATGCTTGGTTCTTTAAAACAGAGGTTTGTGGCTTTCTGCTTTCAGAAGACTGGTCAGAAATCATTAAATTAATTTTGAATTTTTTTTGTTTAATGTTTCTAAAATGCACATTGTTCCAAAATAGCAATTTACCATTTATTTTGACACCACAAATTTATAACTGTAAAAAAAACTGCCTGCCTGTAGTTTTATACAGCATCTATGGCACCAAAAAACCTTGATTTAAAATTAATCCCAGTAAATCTGCAGCATAAACTCATACACACTAATGTATTCAACACAACAGATCATAATACAAATCATACAAATTTCATTTGTAGGTTGTCTGGAAACCCTCCGTTCTATGATGAAACTGAGGAGGAGAACACAGACATGCACAACCGGATAATATTCTGCCGCATTGTTGCTGGAGAATTTGAATTTGATTCACCATACTGGGATGAAATTTCCCCTACTGGTACTAATACTAATTCCTGATCTAATCAAAACTTTTTTTTTTTAAGTTTTTGATGCTTTAAACCTCAGTCTTCCTCTCTTTAATGTCATGCAGCGAAAGAGCTGGTCTGCAGACTTATGGAGGTTGACCCGATGCTGAGAATTACTGCACAAAATGCCCTTTCGCATGGATGGTAAGACTATATACAAACACACAAACTCAAACACTCGGTTGCTTTTTTCAGAGACAACACATCAACGTTTTTTTTTGTTTGTTTGTTTGTTTGTTTTTTCACCAGGATCGCTGGAAATGGGGCTTCGGAAAAGAATCTGAAGGAAGGAGTCTGTGCTCAATTTGAGAAAAACTTTGCAAAGGCCAAGTGGAGGGTAAGAGGAATCTACTATCATACACAACAATCATGTACAACTTGCCAGGTGCCTCTAAAGATTGTATTAATCACTCTTCTATAAAATGGCACAATAAATAATAGGATAATGGATAAGGACAGTAACTGTAAAGATGGTAATGCCAAATAAAGCTGTTGTTTATTAAAGGTTCTGATGGTTATTATATTAATGTTTGCTTTTTCCTTGCATGTGATACCCAGGAGTTGAAGGTACTGTTGATATTCGCGGGGCAGCCTAGAGGCAGAGATTCTTTTCTCTGTATAACAATCTTTGACTTGGGCACTCGTATTTCCTTTAGCATCATACCTAGTGTACATTGCTGCAGTGTCTCATGGCCTGGCCTGATTCTTTAAGCAGCGATCATTCAGGAAATATGTAGTTCAAGTCTGATTGTTGGAAAGATTCTCGCTGTACTTAAGCCTCCCTGTATCTGCACACCAGTAACTAACAAATTTATCGCTGCCCAGCTGGTCCCATGTGCATTCAGTCATATGCCGTCTGGCTTTTACTCACAGTGTCCTCAATATTCCAGTTTGAATTCCAGTTAGTCCTTCATTCACTCAGACAAATCTCCAGATTGAATATTCATCGTAGTGTCACATTTATGTGTATGAAAAGTTGTCCCTGTGATTGTGTGTGTGCCAGAAAGGACCAAAGTGGTCCTCATGAAAAGAGAGAGAGAGAGAGAGAGAGAGAGAGAGAGGGCAAAGTGATTTGTCCTCAGATGACTTACCGTGGCCCTGATTCATTGATTCACATCATGCTTTTGTCAATGACACATACATATCAAAAACATTTCATTCAGATCAGCAGCCAGTAATAAACACAAATGAGCCAAAAATGGCTCTTATTTTCATTTCATTGTTGGGTTCCGGCATAATTATTAGCTGTAATTTGTAGTTGGTGAAATAATTTAACTGCTAAAAATCTGTTGCTGAAAAAAAATGAGACGCCTCAAATTACTAAATTACGAAATTACTAAAACGCCCATCTCCAATATATTTGTCTCATGAAAGCGATAGAGATGAAAATTGCTACCACAGACTGCCACCCTGTTAACAATGCATTTCACATCCATAGCAAAGAAGACCTCATGTTACTTTATAATTTATTAGGTACTAAGTGTTTGGTATGTCTTCATTTCACTTTCAGAAAGCGATTCGTGTCACCACATTCATGCAGCGACTTCGAGCCTCTGAAGTGGGATCTTCTGATGGGGTAGTTGAAGGCCAGGGCGAAGAGGACAAAGCGGATGGATTAGATGGTAAAGGGATACAAACAGACTCAGGCGGCATTTCTACTGTGAGCATGTCCCATGAGGTGTCTGTCGAAAGCAGACCTGTGGAGAATCAAGAAGAGGAGAAAGCAAGACACCTAAAAGCAGAAGAGAAAGAAGCAGAGACCCTTGCCAGATCAAACAGCTCTTTAAAAGTACAAGCAGGTGAGCTGAACAAAAACGAGACTACTGAAGGCACTTCTGATAGGGAGGACAAACCATCAACAAGAGCGAGCCAGAAAGCCAAGACCTCGGACAACCGAGAGAACAATGTTCCCAAGGAGCCAGAGGCCACAACTGTTGGCAGTGTCGAAAATAAATCACCTTTCCCTGATACTCCAAATCGACGCACAATGGCAGCCAAACTCTCAATGGATCATGGCTCATGTTCAGATGCCAAAACCAGTACCTTGTCAGTGGGAAAGGAACCAACTCTTAAATCAGAAAACAAAAAAGACACAGTCCATGATATGGCTGCAAGTAGCTGGTGTCAAACACAGCTCCCGGAAGCAGTTGCAGAGAGTCCAGCAGAAGTAGGAGTGACTTGCGAAGTCAATCCTAAGAGCAGAGAGTTGAAGAAAGGACGAACGGACAAGGGTTGCCAGTCAGTGAAAAACATCCAGTGTACATATGCAGGATTGGGATCTTCAAGTCTTGGCTGTGATAAAACAGTATTTGAGCAGGAGCTGCAAGAGATGGTCCATGGCGCATCAGGGTACGGTAGCCCGTACTGTCCAACTTACTCTGTCGGACAGTACGGTGGCCTGGATCCTGGAAGTGGAGCGAGTGCAGACTGGCAAATGGATTGTGTAATCGAACAAATTGAAAAGCAAATGGCTGCCGTGTTAGAGAAGATCGAGGGGGACATGCCTTCATTGCTGGAGCAGATCAGCGACCATCCCGAGACCCTTCCGAGAGCAAAGAGCGCCAGCTCTTCCCCATCACCCCGACCTCGCTCGCACCATCATTCGACCCCACCGCCCCTTCCCACCACACCTCGCCCAGCAATGCCTTCTCTACAACACCTGACCATCCCGCCTCCCTCATACCCACCACCTTCCCCACCCAGTCACATCCAGGGTCACAGCCATCCAACTGCCGACGAGGGTAACAGTGATGGCCAGAAGTCTACAAAGCGGTCTGGCCAATCACCAAGGGGAAGTTTGTCAGGAACAGGGTTGTAAATATGCTAAAAGGATGTGAATGCTCAAGAATAAAGTAGGTACGGCATGTAACAAAAAAATCTTTGGGATATGGATTATGGATCCATGAGTACAGGTGCATCTCAATAAATTAGAATGTCGTGGAAAAGTTCATTTATTTCAGTAATTCAAATCAAATTGTGAAACTCGTGTATTAAATAAATTCAGTACACACAGACTGAAGTAGTTTAAGTCTTTGGTTCCTTTAATTGTGATGATTTTGGCTCACATTTAACAAAAACCCACCAATTCACTCTCTCAACAAATTAGAATATGGTGACATGCCAATCAGCTAATCAACTCAAAACACCTGCAAAGGTTTCCTGAGCCTTCAAAATGGTCTCTCAGTTTGGGTCACTAGGCTACACAATCATGGGGAAGACTGCTGATCTGACAGTTGTCTAACTCTGCAGCAGCACTTCTTCTTCGTCGTCTCGTCTGATGCGCTCACTCAACCAAGCGTTCTAACCACAACCTCACCCCTCCCCACCCCCCAACCATTCGAATTTCTGTAGGCGGGAATAATTTGTAATGAAATTCTAATGAGCCGCTTTGTGATATCACAAAGCCCGGAAACCAAACGCTGTAGTCCAAACGAGCCGTTCGTTGTAGTTCTTGAAAAGGGATTTTTAAAAAACGAAATATCTCCCTTTGGAGTGGACTTTGAGATTTGTAACTTTCTAGATCTTTTTAATGCCCAAACATACACACTACACACTGACTAAAATTAAAAAAGTGAAAAAGCATAATAGGACCCCTTTAAAAGAACCAAAGACTTAAACTACTTCAGTCTGTGTGCATTGAATTTATTTAATACACGAGTTTCACAATTTGAGTTGAATTACTGAAATAAATGAACTTTTCCACGACATTCTAATTTATTGAGATGCACCTGTACAGCATACCTTTCGGGGCTGTACAAAGATCTATGGGCTCCAATGCAAAGAGCCTTGTTATTGATTTTATGTGAAGGATAAGAAGCTTTTTTTAATGTATGAAGAGGAAAGTGAGCAAACTGAACACTATTTTGTAATATTAGAGAAAACAGTTAAGGTTATCCCACTTTAAATGGTTGTAAATGGCTCTGCTCTACACTACAAAATCATTGCAAACACTATTATGTTTCCTAAATAATTTCATAATTATAACGTAGAGTCTGTGGATACAGTTTGGATACAAGAGTTTATATAACCTGAAAATTCACCTTTAATGAAACTTGTTTCCTTAAAACAAGTTGGCATCCTGCTCTGTTTTGGAGAACCGCTGCACAATTGCTCTTCACCAGGTACTGACTTTGGAGGGTGTTATTATTTTTGTCACTTCATCCATCTTGGATTTTTTCTCTGAGATAGTGAAGTTGAAGCAGTCCATCTGTGTACTCTCATCAATCATTTACCTTCTGTAATATTTCCAATAAGACTATTTCATTTATCTTTCTTATTGTATATTCTCGCATTGTACAGCAGTTTCTATACGTCTCTGCCAAACATGACAGTCTTTCATTGATTGAGAATAATAATGCTCAGAGGGCGAGAATTGATCATAACTTCAAGACTACTTTAAAACTATATTCTCTTTCCTGGCCTTTTTTTCCGCTGTTGTATGTGTCCATCTACGTGTTTGTTTGATTCTCATTCTCTTACTCTATTTTCTCAATTTATGATGCATACTAGTATATCTTTACATTGTAAAGTACTTTTGCTAATATATCCTAAAGTAAGCTCTAATGTCTATATGTAAAATCCTCGCAAATGTCTGTGAACTGTAACTGTGGCTTCCACCTCCCCAATTATTATATAGATTTTGGTGATGTGAATATTATTCCAAGTTATTTTTTGCACTCTCTACATGACTATTTCAATAAAATTAAGATCAAACTATCTTGTTTTATAGCCTTTTCTTTTGGCATGATTGGTATAAAATGACAGTTGTTACATAACTAGCCTTATAGTAAATATTATAACTACAAAATAACTTAATTATTTAATTTGCTTAAAATACATTGTGAAAAAGGGCTATCATAGACACTTGCCAACTAGCACGTTTGCTACCCTAATTTAAGGATGTTTCCAGTTCAGAATGGATATAATTATTTGGTAATATAACAAATTAGCAGTGTTTTATTTTCACTTTTCACAGGATTTTTAACTTTTAGTTCATCACACTACTAAGAAGTCACTAGTTCACTCTCTTCTTAGCACTTTGCCACTTTCCTGTCAATTACAGATATGCTACTATACTCATTTTCTTTTTTAGTGAACAACACTTTCAGCACATTGTCACTGTCTGCTACAGATGCATTTAACTACTTTTTACTACAACACAATGTCTTATACTTCAGGAGTTCCTTGGTGCTCTTATCCCATTACTTAAATCATTGTTTAACAGATTTCCCAATCTTTTTATCATTTACCTTAATGTTTACATACTCTATGCCTGCGTTTTGTTTGCACAGTCTATTGTCTGTATTGTCAACGTCCTGCAATCTGAGCTGCTTCTTAAGTATTTCAATGCCCAGAAAATCCTGTGTAAGCTTTGAAAATGACAAAAGGGCAGTTGACATGAAATACCTTTTCATCACGTTGGCATGCCATGTGGTGACACGCTACAGCCATCTTAAATTATTTTACATACAGTTGCATTTTAAATGCATTATTATGCGCGTAGTTTTAATGAGCTCATACTAATTTGTTATTAATTGGAACATTTTCACTGCAGGACCATTTCAAATGATCCAGTCAATACAGACATATGTTTAAACTGTTAAAATTTCAAAAGGAATAGTACAACATACCACTTTGCTTACCCGTTAATATACATTTTAACCCGAAATCTTGATGTGTATTTTAAAAAACCCATGTTCTACCTAAAAGCAACTTAACGCACATTTCTACGCATAAAAACTACGTCTCCCATAGAGCATAGCGCAACCCAAGCTTTGGGCGAGTCTATTTTGTAACTCGGTGGGGGGGATAGCAAAATAACGGTTTGGACAAACTATAGAAAGGTTTTTCGTTGTTACCCAATTACGTTTGTTCTAAAATGTTATTCTAAACGTTTAACATTTGACCATCAACGCATTTAATGTATTTGACGGTTTAATATAAACACAAGTTTGTGTAATTTCCCTGTATCTTGAATAATAGTACGGTCTCAAACTCTGCACATGTTGGTTCTACGCTCCTGAACTGAAGAATACTTGCTGAACTGTTGTTAACGGTGCAGGGAATAGCCGGTCAGGCAACCGTCCAGCCTCCCCTCACACTGGAAAGTCACGGAGCTCCCACCACTTCCAGGGATAAAGTTACAGAAACGGTTTGAGTTAACCTTTTTGTTGTTTATCTTTTGCCCGCGAGATATTTCTGTATTCAGTACCGTGGAGAGGCCAAGTAATATCGGATGTGGTGAGTTCTGCATACTTATGTGCCTAGCTAATGCTAACTAGCTAACGTCTCCACAAGAACACAGTTACAGCTAGCCAAAGCCAAGTTTTTACCGCTGAAGTCAGCTAAGCAGGCGCAACAATTTGCCTGTAAATTTCAACTGGCCACTTTAGGAACAACCAGCTAACGGCCTGCGCGAGACAATGCGCCCCATGCGCGCATCACGAGCTGGGGGTAAAAGAACCCAACTCATTCTTGCGGAAAAGTTGGCTAAGTTAGTTCTCCCATCATATGGTTTGGGCTATTTTTCAGATTTCCTTCATGCTTTGCAAGAAGGTTGCGCTAAGCTAACAAGCCTCGTTTTAGCAGGCTAACGTGATCGCAAAACGTCCTCGCATCGTTTCCCTAAAAGCTAGCCTGGAAAGATGGCGAGATAATCTGACTGCTCACATGTCTGCACAACTGCTCAGATTACATTCTTTTAAAAGTATCTCAAGATTCACCCTAGGAAAAAATAGACCAAATACTGAATCAAACCTGTCAGCGTGTGGGGTACCAAGTCGTTGCTTTGCTTCTCCGCTTAGATCACTGATCATTAAACCTCAACCTGTTTATGTCACCCTGTGCATTGTTAGCATCGATTTGCTATAATGTAAACTGCAGCTTTAAACCCCAAGATCCCTCTTTAGTAAGCATGCAACTTGCTATGTGAAACTCATCTTAAGATGGTGTTTTGCAGCGAGCTAACTGGCTCACTCGGACTGCGAGGTTTTGACTCAAATGCAGGTGCGTGAGCGGCAGAAGGATGCGATGCGTTGGGGGTTGTTGACATTATTTGTACTTGCTGTAAATGTAACTCGCACGGGGCATTTGCTTCTTGTATGCACCATGTGCGAGAATAAGCGGCCCACTTGGGCCTTTGTCACAAGTATCACCCCATCCCCCAACGCTTATTCCTCTCATTTACAAGAAAGCCCATGCCTAACCTCTCATTTTAGCAGTCATTGCTTTTGAAAGGCACAGATTTACGTGGTTTGTTGTTTTAGGGGATGTAAACTGCTCTATGCAAATAAATGAGGGCAATTCTTCAGTGGTTATATGTATGCATCATGTGTATGAATGTTCAGTGTTTCTGCGGGCTGTTATTTTGTTTTTTTTTATGGCTTTATATTAAACCACTGTTTATCCCCATCTGCAAGTGCATCATGTGTATGAATGTTCAGTGTTTCTGCGGGCTGTTATTTTGTTTTTTTTTTATGGCTTTATATTAAACCACTGTTTATCCCCATCTGCAAAGGTGACATATTTTACCCAAATGGTTTATGTCAAGTATGTCTGCTCCTTAGTAAGATAGTTGTGACCTACTTTACAGAGTCAGCTGTCAACTAGCAGGTTGTATGGCTTTCTTTGTTTATGTTAAGTAGAGTGAATAAGTGCAGCATCTGCTTTAGTGTTTTTTTTGGTAAATGATGTCTAAGTTATTAAATTGGCACTTTACTTCCTTCATTCAGCCGTTGACAGGTCTACAGATTTGCATGATTATTTAGGTTTTGCATGCCATAATATACTGTAATCACTAGAATGCTGCTTCTCTGATCTGACGTGAGGTTATTTTGACTAGTAATATATATTCAGTGTTATTACCAAACCCATATGAACATTTAGTTTTGGTGGTTAATTGTAAATAAATCATATCTTTACATTGCTGTAGCGTAAAGTGCCACAGAGACATTCATGACAATATCTTGCAAAATGATGTAAAAATTGAGAATTGTAGACTGAGTGCATTAACATATTTTCCACCCCCAACAAGATTATAATTGTATTGTGTTGTCATGTAGCTATAGCTTTTTATATGGACCGGGACCATATTAGGACGCAAATAATACATACATCATAATTTTTCCTTAAAACATTGCTTTTATTTTCAGTATCATTTGTATCTCATATGTAAATTGTCCAGGACACAAAATCATTTAAAGGGAAAGTTCACACAAAATAAAAACTCATCATTTTCTCACCCTTTACATCTTTCCAAAAATGTTTGCCTTTTTTCTGCGGAACACAGGATATTTTTAAGAAAATTGGTAACCAAAAAGTTTTGGTTGCCATTGACAAACACTGAATGGAAAAAAGACAACTTTTGTTGCACAAAAAAAAAAAAGAAGTCATACTGGTATGGAGTGTCATGAGGAGGAAGAAAATTAGGGCAATTTTCATTGTTGGCAAACTATCCTTCTACAGCATGGGTTCAGTTCTTTATCCACAGCCTCATGACAATAGGTAACGTGGTTCAGTTCAGTGAGCACAACTGAATATCAATTACAGGAGCCTGAAGTCCCGGCATTATGCTGAAGTGGGTGGGTTTTCCGTAAAGTCATAGGTAGGACAGCCAATGGGCGCCTGCATAGGATTGCAGCAGTCTTGGCCAGACCACCTTTTCCTGTTCCTCTTTAACCGAGCAGCTCCGCCCCTGTGCTACAGCTGCCATTTTGGTTTGGTCCCGTTCGCTGAAACAAAACCAGAAACGCGAGACGGGCAGGCAGCAGACTGAACGACACAGTGACTCGGCAGGATAGTGAAGGGGCTTTACTCACAGCATCTCGCCCAGCGCTGTTCGTGCTGTTGCTGTCTGTTTTCTCCTCGCACCTACATCAGCCTGCAGTCCGCACCATCTAAGTTAGTTTCACACGAGGAGCGGTTTGCTGACACAGAGTGGACTGAGAAGGATTATTGGTAAGAGGCAAACCATTGCGCTCAGTGCAAGCAGCTGTCCGCTCGGGTAGCGCTTTATCGCGTGTATTTCCCCGCCTAGGCTCGTGTAATTATGTGATGGCTAATCGGCATGGACCAGATCGTTGTGTTTGTACAGGCGCCGAGTTCTTTCATTCACTGATTAGCATGCGAACTAGCGAGCTAGGCCTCAGGCTCAGTAAACTGCCTTCACCTACTATTACAAAGCATGTAGCAGGCTAGCAAGCTAGTTGTCTAAGAATCCCCTCGTGCTCCCTGCTAAATGATCGTCCAGTTAACATAAATTTGTCAAATCTGATTAGCGTCAAGTTACGCGACCTGCTTCGCGTGTCTGCTTAATTTAGCATTTGATGTCTTGACGTACTGTAGATGATTTTTTGTCTCGTCGAAACGGAAGTGAAATCTGAAATTTACAAAGCAGGTGTAACCGTTGATCTTTACGAGATAATAGAGCTTGTATGTTATTTTTTGCTTATGTCACGCACAGATTTGTTCATGTTTCGGTTTCGCTTGGGTCAAATCAGAGGGTGGGCACCTCAATCTGCTCATATTGTAGTCTTCGAGTGTCAATATATTGTTCACTTAGCCATCTGTACGCTAATGGATTTTGTGGGCATTATTTTGTTTTTATTAAACAAATTAAAATTCACTCTCGTGTTGTTCTAAACGTGTGACTGACTGACTTTCTTTCGTGGAACAAAT